GCTGGATTTTTCCAGACTTTATCCAGACTTGTCTAGATTTCTGCAGACCTAATAGAGCCTTTTCCAGACGTTTCCAGAAATGTTCTGGCTTTTCCAGACTGTATCCAAACTTATCCAGACTTTTCCAGATTTAGCTAGACTTTATCCAGACTTGTCTAGATTTCTCCAGACCTTATCCAGCCCTTTTCTGACCTCTCCGGACTTCTCCCAAACACTTTCCCGACTTCAAATGCACTTTTCCAGACTTTATCCAGACTTGTCTGAATTTCTCCAGACCTTATCAAGCCTTTTCCAGACGATACCAGAAATTTCCAGGCTTTTCCAGACTTTATCCAGACTTTTCTAGACTTGGCTAGATTTTTCCAGACTTTATCCAGACTTGTCTAGATTTCTCCAGACCTAATAGAGCCTTTTCCAGACGTTTCCAGAAATTTTCTGGCTCTTTTCCAGACTTTATCCAAACTTGTCTGAATGTCTCTAGACCTTATTAAGCCTTTTCCAGACGTTTCCAGAAATTTCCAGGCTTTTCCAGACTGTATCCAGATTTTTCTAGGCTTAGCTAGATTTTTCCAGACTTTATCCAGACTTGTCTAGATTTCTTCAGACCTAATAGAGCCTTTTCCAGACGTTTCTAGAAATTTTCTGGCTCTTTCCCAGACTTTATCCAAACTTATCCAGACTTTTCCAGACTTAGCAAGACTTTATCCAGACTTTATCCAGACTTATCTAGATTTCTCCAGACCTTATCCAGCCCTTTGACCTCTCCGGACTTCTCCCAAACACTTTCCCGACTTCAAATACACTTTTCCAGAACTTATCCAGACTTGTCTGAATTTCACCAGACCTTATCCAGCCTTTTTCCGACGTTACCAGAAATTTCCAGGCTTTTCCAGACTTTATCCAGACTTGGGTAGATTTTTCCAGACTTTATCCAGACTTGTCTAGATTTCTCCAGACCTAATAGAGCCTTTTCCAGACGTTTCCAGAAATTTTCTGGCTTTTCCAGACTTTATCCAAACTTATCCAAACTTTTCCAGACTTAGCTAAACTTTTTCCAGCCTTATCCAGACTTTATCCAGACTTGTCTAGATTTCTCCCGACCTTATCCAGCCCTTTCCTGACCTCTCCGGACTTCTTCCAAACACTTACCCGACTTCTATTATGTATAAGTAATTGCCTATCTATGAGTCGGCACTCAATGTATGCAAAAGCGGTAACAACCTTGAACTAACATAAACATATCGATTTTATATTCCGATTGCCTTATTTGCATAATTAAAGCGGTGACAACCTTGAACTAACATCTCGATTTTATAGTCAGATATAGAAATATTGATTATGATAAAATTTGATACTTAATTATTTTATTTATTCTGGTTATTTATTTTAATCTGAATAAAAAAACCTAGTGGTTCAGGTAAAAAAGTGCCAATTTTGTATTTAAAGTTATCAGCTGTTTATAATCACAGGTAAGTGTGAATATATAATGAATCACCCTGTCCTAATTCCACAGTACTTGAATTGCAATTGTTTAAATAGTATTAGTATTTGTCTAACAGATTGTTTTTTTTTTAAGTTTATTCTCAAGTTATGTTTCTATTTCTATAGTAAAAACGTTTAGTTTTAGTTTTTGTTCCTTTTTTGGTTTATAGCATCAATTTATCATTACTGCTGACTTGACTGCTACAAACAGAATGTTTTTTTTTTAAGTTTATTCTCAAGTTGTGTTTCTATATCTATACCAAAAATGTTTAGTTTTAGTTTTTGTTCCTTTTTTAGTTCATAGCATCAATTTATCATTATTGCTAAGTTGACTGCTACAAACTAATTTTTTGTCACTATGACTGATATTGTGATTTCTAGAGTTATTTAGGTTAGTTTATTGTGGAATACATAATATGCTCGGATCTATTTTTAGAAATAAAATTACTTTGTTACTTTTTTTAACAACTTTAATTTCAGTTTTTCTCCAAAAAATGGGCCATTCTACAAAAAAATAAATGGGGAAAAAATTTTAAATTCATTAAATTCTGCTATTTTATCTAATTCGATTTTATAATCCTTGTGCAATTCTATCTCTCTTGTCTATTGCATTGGGCACATTCTGTCCATGTCCATCAAAAAAATCATTTTCATTGTCTTCCACTTCTTCATAATAATTGTCCCAAGAATCTCCATGCAGGTAAGAAAAATTGTGGAGTACACAGCACACAACAATTGTTTTTATTGCTTTTTTTACTGAATTTACGTTTATGTATTTCAGAATTCTCCACCTTGATTTCAGGATTCCAAAAGTATGTTCAATGACAATCCGGGTTCTGCTATGCATATAGTTAAATCTTTTTTGTTGTGCATTTAAGTTACCATTATCTCTTAAATACAGATATTTTAATAACTACATACAGTAAGGATTTTTCAAACACATTGAAGGGCACAATGCAATCCAATTTTTTTCAAAGGCATCATGGATGGTTATCAAGGAAAGGACCCATAGATACTTCCGATTGCATATTACCTAAAACATTATTTTATTGTGCATCATTAAGTGGTATGATGCTTTTGTAAAAAATACTGTATGTATTATATTTCAATGCATTGTGTGTCCTATGATGAGGAAGAAAGTATGTACTAGTTTCCATTAAAACAATGTTAAAATACTTAGGTTCCTACCTATATGGGGTCAACATCCAGTCAAGTAGTGGATATGCTGAATCACCAATTAGGTGATTTTCGTTAGTAGAACAATAACTTCTTCTGTTTATGTTGTTTGTAATCTTCCTGTAAATTTCGCAATTTTGGAAAACCTACAAATTAAAAAAAAAAGTGATGAGTGACTGAGACAAAATTTTTGACAAAAATCGCTTCATGTAAATACTACCAAAAGATGCATGTTCAATTGTTTGACTATACTATCTTATCTTACCCTGCTATCATGAACTGATCCTGGCCAACCTACTAAGATATTTGTAAAAATTTTGTTACTTGTGCATATGCCTTGTAATTTAATACTATGTGTTGATTTTCTATCAATATAACTCTCTTGTTGGCCTGCTGGTGCTTTGAAAGGTATATTACAACAATCGATTGCACCCACTACTCCTAAAAAATAATGTATTGTAGAAACAATTATATCGGGTCTTCAAAAAAAAATCCAATCAAAGATTGCTATGATTTTGTAAACGTATGTCTTAGCAATATTTTTCGTTAATTTTGTCAATGAATTTTAATGTCAAAATGTCATGTCAAAAATCCTGACCAATTAAGAAACAATGGGTACATTCAGGCGGTCCCAGCGGCTTAGCTCAGCCTCTCAGCAGAAACTTTATTCCCGAAACCAAGGAACAGCGTTCTCATAAGAACGATTACTCTGTCATTGTCAGTGTTATGCCAGACGGCAAAGACAGAACCTTCGTTCCAATGAGAATGCTGTTCCTTGTTTTCGAGAATAACGTTTTTGCTGAGAGGCTGAGCTAAGCCGCTGGGAACGCCTGAATGTATTCAATAATGCGACATACATTTTCGTAACCAAAGCAAACTTTGATTGGTTTTTTTTTTGAAGACCCGATACAACGATAATACTAAACATACACTATATACAAATGCCATAATTAAAGATGAAAAACAACTTAAGCTTAGTTAGCAATCATTCAAAGTTCAAGGAACCATACTAACCTGGTATGTTGCCTCTTTCATGAAAATCTTCCACAATTGTCCCTATTTCGTTTATATTCGGCCATACAATATACGTATACTGAAGATTTATAATTTCATCTAATACAACATATATGCACTTGTGGACTGCTGACAAAGCCACATTAAATTTATCAGAAACCGACAAAAGAGTTTCTCCTTTTCCAAGCCACCACAAAGTCATCATGAGTTTTTTTTCTGGGGATATTGGCATTTCTCCTCCTAAATATGGAATACTTAATCCTTGGTGAATTTGTCGCAATAAGCTATTAAAGGCAGCTCTGTGCACTCGAAAAAGCTGAAAGAAATCGTACTCCAAGTACTCAGGGAGCCAATTTTCGCAATATGCATCCGGTCGTATATGATGCTCGAAGGGGTCCAGGGCTGCATAATTCAATAAATAAGCATCTTCTCTATTTATCCATTGCAGTAGAAATTGTTGTGCCAACGATGGCCTATTAATTAAAATTGTTAAAATGTCCATGATTCTTACTATGATAAGGGAACTAGTTTCTTTACTTTGGACAAAATCAAAAATAAGATATTCAAAAAGAGATCACAGTCACTGAATACTCTACCCGTCCCGTCAAACTGAAAAAAAGTAGGGTTAGGCCATCATTCCTTTCCTTCGTTGACGTAAGGTTGTGGTTCAAACCTCATTTTCTCGCGTTGACACGTAATGACGTCATCTAGAAATTGGTTTAAACCGCGGTTCGAACCGTGTTCGAACCATTCGCCCCGCGAGAAAACGACTTATTCTTTGGCTGAAATTATTCACGCGACACGGCGCGAAACGTGTTTCTGGAATTGTTAGGGTTATTATTATTTTTCTCATTTTTTGAACTTTAAAACATCAATATTATCATACTTTCGTTTATATATTCCATTTTGAGTCTCAATAAAACCATTTTTGCTACGAACCGGTGTTTAATTTACTGACATTATTTACAATAATGAATGAAATAAATATAAAAAAAATGTCCATGTGCGAACTTGAATATTCGGAGAAAAAATTACCTGTTCTACGTGGCAGAAAAGCAGATTTAATGCCTCGGCTGGTTTCCTAGCCTCGGCTCGGCATTAAATCTTGTACTTTTCTGCCTAGTAAAACAAATAACAAATAACTATTTTTGTATTGCTAAAAAGTAATTTTGTAATGGATAAAAAATATATTTGGGGATAGCGAGAGTATTTTCAGCAAAAAACTTTTTAAATGGAATTTTCTCAGTGTATCTACCTATTATAATATCGAAGAATCTGCAAGTATCCTATTGCGCCATTTGAGCAACAACATGCAAGGCAATCGAAAATTAATTGCCTCGTAAAAATAAAACCAATCACAATAAAAATTTATTGCATAAATAAAACCAATTGCAATGAAAATATCAATGCAAATCAGTAGTAGGTATTGTGTGTAGTGCAGCATGCGTTTCCTAGCTTTGATTTTACCAATGATGGCAGTTTTGGCCCTAGAGGTGAGTATTTTTCATATAAAAAACAATTAAATCCATTAAAAATCCCGTTAGTCGCCTGATGACATAAACGAACAAGACAAATTCCTGATAACTTGCAACAATCTCAGTAATGACTATGAGAGCGTTGGCCCTGGCCCTGCCATGCAGTGTGCCTCCGATTTTCTGGATAAGTACCCGGTACTGGACCCCTTGACGAATGCCTTGGACCTCGAAAAGGCATCCAAATATTTTATGGAAAACGCCAGTAAGCCAGATCGGTTTGACCTTTTCTACGAGTGCATTAAAGGATTTCTAAACAAAAACAAAAACAGCAAAAAGGACGAAGGAGGACCTCTACAAGCTCAGAACAGTTTTTTTCAAATAAGCTTCTGCTCAATATTCACACAAGGACAAGAAATCTATACCACTCCATTTGATTAGGAAATCTTTTGTGGCGCGATTAAGAATAATATATTATTGAATAGTGGGAATACGGCCAATTTTTTTTTTTTTTTCTCAAGAAAAACTATTTTTTCTGTAAAAGCTTTCGCGATTGTTTAATCACTTCTTCAGTTACAACTAAAATATAAATATACAGGGTGTCCACTGTTATGTATTTACTTTCTGAGATATCGAGGAGTGCCAATAAAACAACTTATATAACAATGCATGACTTTAATTTATTTAGTTTGAGTTCGAGTCTAGAGCCACGTTGTCTCTCTTGTTGCGTGTAGTAAGTAGCTTCGTTCGTTCTCGACTCTCTTGCCTCAGCCAAGCTGGTCTTCGACCTACGGTCTCCGCATGTCATGTACATGCGCACATATCGGTGCTTATTATTAAGCCCCGTACACAACACCCCTACACTTAAAAGGCACTTATCTAGAAGTTTTAGTATTCTAAATTGTTGATTGTGACACTGTTCAATCATCAGAACAGAATTGACTTAAAAGGCTTAATGAACCATCTGTGGTCTCACTTTCAAAAAATGCATATGTATGCTATAAAAAAAGTGATGTGATTGACATAATTCATCCCTCTCCTTCCTGAGATTCTGAAATAATCGGAACATTATCACAGCTTAAATAATTAGAGCTAAAAGTGTATATGTATATCACAGTTAATCTAAAGTATATGTATATCACAGTTAATTTAAAGTGTAGGTACTCAATAAAAAATTTTAAAAGATAAAATACACATAGATATACGTACTATTACATACAAAAAAAATCACAACTTATGTAAGTTACAATAATACTGAGGTTCCAAAATTTGACATTCGATCACGATTAAGCAATATAATACAATACAAAACCTATATATACAAGAAAAGGAAATAATACATTTTTTTTGTATATATTTTTTTTTAAATTATTTATCTATACATTTATCCACCTGATTTCCTACCACAAAGTCGTTATATTTGGAGGGCGGTTGTCTGGATCTAAAACTACGTCTAATAACAATCGAATTCTTGAGATTCGTGTCGTCAATGTCTTTTTTTACATTGGAATCATCAATGAGAATCTGAGAAGAATTACTAGATTTATCTGAATCAGCTGATAAAAAGCTGTCGTCTAAAGAAGTATTTATAGTCTAGGAGGCAGTGACGATTTTCGGTACTTATTTTCCCAGTCACGAAACATGGATAGAATTGTAGGTTCAGTAATTCTAAGCCAAATTCATATATATTTAGGGGGGGGGGTTCCGATGGGTTGAGGCGGAAAATGCGTCAGAACATAAGAAATCAAGGCCCTTTTTTTTCCAGTGATAAAAATAGTTCTACTAGTAAGATGCATACTGAAATCACGTAAAAAAAATTGTCTGGCTAATCTGTGAATATGGATAATACGTCTGGCAAGTGAAAACTTGAAAAATTTTCATTAATAAAATTTCCCTCATTTTCGCAGTCATAAAAATTTATCCGATGATGGCTTATATTTTAATGTCAGCCTAAAATACAATCTGGTGAATGTGGAACACCCCGAAGGTCTTGCCAGACTCGTCGAATGATCTTCAGGCGCGCCTAATTCGATTCGATTAAACAGGTTATTAGTGTCCCATATACATGTTTTTTCTAAGAGAGCAAAAAAGCAAATAAACTGTATAGATTACAGAATCGATTGGGTAGGGTAAAAAATATTTATTGACGAAGTCATAAAGTTTAATAAAAATGCAAAAAGTTTCTATTTTGCATGATACTTTGAGTAATGTACGTATATACAGGGTGAGTCACTATATTTTGACACCCACCTGCAGCCGTAATTACAGGTGATAGGTAAAAGGTGTAAATACAAAAGTTGTAGCATTTTATCTGAACCGCCATAATTTTCAATTCGATTGAACAAATGAGCAACGCAAAGTAAAAAAATATATCAATTTTCACTTTTTTCAAATAGAATGTACTTTATTTTCTTTCAAATTCTTTAAGTTCTCGTTTTTCTGATTCAGATTATATAATATGTTAATGTTTCTTTCAATAGTTTTGAAAATATCTGGAATTTAGTTATTTAAAGTCCTATTCATGTATCAGAATGTTTTGTAACAGGTGACAGGTAAATCAAGGTAAAATATATTTAAAAAAACTACTATCTTTGAATAACTAAACTCCAGATATTTCCAAAACTATTGAGAGAAACATCAACATGTTATATGCTCTGCATCAGAAAAACGAGAACTTTAAAAATTTGAAAGAAAATAGAGGGCATTCCATTTGAAAAAAGTGAACATCGACATGTTTTTCCACTTTGCGTTGCTCATTTGTTCAATCTGGTCAAGAATTCTGGAGGTTCAGATAAAATGCTACAACTTTTGTATTTACACCTTTCACCTATCACCTGTAATTACGGCTGCAGGTGGGTGTCAAAATATGGTGACTCACCCTGTACCTACCAAAATCTGGTTAAGGAAAAATATAACTGTAATTAATCAAAAATAATACTCAATTTTTGAAGGCAAATGACGAATAGGAAATATAATTATAATTTATGATCTTCTTCATAAATTTCTCCTGAGCCTTCACTATCACTGTCATCATGGTACTCGTTATCATCCTAATCTTTGTCATATCTATAGTCAATTTCATCAATGCTCTTTTCAAGCTCCACAGCATCAGAATCAGGGTTGCTATCATCTTCGTCTTTCTGTCATAAATACTATGGCCGAACTGACAGTTCGTGATTGTAAGTGACAGCCAGACATGTATTTTCTGTAAAACTATAGTATAATCTATCATGTGACAAATTTTCAAACTTGAGAAAATAAGGGTAAACATTTTCTATTTTCCCGATTTTGAACATTCCGCCAGACTCATTAAATTTGTCAATTTCGTAAATCAGCCAGAATTATTTTTAATTACAGTTTATGATTGTATCAATTTATATGCTGAATTTCAAGCTTGGAAAAATAAGGGTTACCGATCCGCAAAATCGGTAAAAAATTTTAATCCGAAAATTCTCAGCCAGACTCACATTCCATGAGTTAAGATAAGCCAGACTGCTATTCTCATATACTTTATGTTCTATTTCAGTAAATGTGGAAAATGTATGACTGGGAAAATAAGTGTACTTGTATTTTTCATTAATCTTGTGAACCCATCCGAAAATTTCAGTCACACTGAAATATTCTTGTTTTGTGTCACTAAGAAAACAAACTATTTAATATGCACCAACTAAGAAAATAAGTGCTAAAAAATTTCACTGCCTCCTGGACTATTATTATATTTGGTTTGGAGTTTTTGTTTTGAGAACTTGTGCCAGGCACTGACGGTGACTCTGCCAGTGGCATTTCAGGGGTATTGCCAGGGGAAGTCCCCGGTGATGTGCAAGGCGCAACAGGAACAGAGTGGTCGTTTACAATGAAAGAACAATTACCATCGTAAAGTGATTCACCAGAATGCTCTGCCCCTAAGTTACATTCTATAATTTGATTTATGTGTCTTTTCCAGATTTTACCGTTATTTATTCTACAAAGATAAGTTGACCTACCTATCCTTTTCACAATTCGAGCTTCAGTCCAGTTCAGTCCTTGATTTCGATAATCTCTCACCATCACAGGTTTTCCTATTTCTATATTTCTTGATTTTTCATTGGTCATTGTGCTTTGTTCTGATTTCACTGGTTTTTCATTTAACATGGAGATTCTTGTTCTTAATTTCCTATTAAAGACCATTTCTGCTGGTGATTTCTGCGTCGTAGCTTGTGGAGTATTTCTATAGCTGATCAAAAATCTGGATATTAGCGTTTCTAATCTAACACTCACATTTCTAGGATCTTCCATTGCAGCTTTAATTTGTCTTTTGAAAGTTTTCACCATATTTTCGGCACATCCATTGCTCATTGCATGATATGGTGGGCTGGTAATGTGTTGTATGCCATTTTTCCTGAAAAATTCCTCCATTTTTCTTGACGTGAAGGGTGGTCCATTGTCGCTCACAACGGTTCTTGGTATTCCCATTGCTGAAAACACCTGTCTTAAACGTTCTTCAGTTTCTATTTCATTAGTTGTTTTCATATGAAAGACTTCTACCCATTTTGAGAATGAATCGACAAGGATTAGGCATTTTTGGCTTCTGATGTCACAAAAGTCTATATGAATTCTGTCAAATACCCTTGAGGTTTTTTCCAAGGGGTTAAAGTATTCTTAGGAGGATTCTGTCTCGCCTTGAGACAAGGCAAACATCCCTTAATTAGCTTCTCAATGTCCACATTAATGTTTGGCCAAAATATGAAGGATCTTACCAAATTCTTACATCTAACAATTCCTGGGTGGTTTGCGTGCAGCAATTCCAGGATTTCTTTCCTCAGTGGTTTAGGAACAATGATTCTATGTCCCCACATCAGAATGTTGTTGTCAATATGAAGTTCTGAGTGCCTGTGAAAGTATAGTAGTATATTTTCACTCACTTTTGCAGGCCATTTGTCGTTTATGACATATTCAGCTACTTGTCTCAGTTCAGGATCTTCTGCTGTCATTTCTCTGATCCTGTCATTGTCAATTGGCCAAGCATCAGCTGATTCCGTGAATAAGATGTATGATGCTTTTCCTGATGCTTCTTCTGAGGTTATTGCAGACTTTAAAGGAGCTCTTGACATATAGTCGGCTACGATATTTTTGCAACCCTTAATATGTTCGATCTTGTAATTAAAACCTGAAAGAAACGTTGCCCATCTTTGAAGTTTGCTTGCTGACATTTCTGGAATGCTTTTATTTTCACCAAATAGGGATATCAACGGTTTGTGGTCCGTTCTTAGAGTGAAAAAATTGGAACATAAATAATGGTACAATTTATTGATAGTGAAATAGATAGCTAATGCCTCTTTCATTATAGTGCTCATGTTTTTCTCACTAGGCATTAGAGTTCTGGACACACAGGTTACTGTACGTTCTTCCCCATTCACAATCTGTGAAAGCACACCACTGACACCTTGTTCTGACGCATCAGTGGTTACTAACCGTGCGTTCGGTATTTTGATCTGAGTTCTCTGAGCATAAAGTTACCGTTCGTTTATTTAAAAATTGTATTCGGTGCAGACTCATTCACGTTCGTTTATTAAAATTTCGAATCCTCTGATACAGTATTTAACTGCTCTGAGGTCTCGCTGCCCACGTGATTACGGCTCCGCTATGCACGCTCTACTCTTTGAGCAAAATACCGAACGC